CTGGACACAGCCCGGCTCTGGGCTGGGCTCCCACAGAGGGTGCAGTGGGGCCGTGCGCCTCCACCAGGTAAACCAGGTGGTTGAGTCCACAGGAGACTCCCATTCACTCAAATGGCAGCAGACGGGTGGGGCCTGTGACAGGTCAGGGGTCTAATATTTGCAGGGCGACATCAGGAGAACCTCCGCAGCCCCTGGTTTCCGAGGTGACCCTGAGTGAATCCCTTCCCTGCTCTGGGCCCTCATCGGCCAGGTCTGAGTGAGGGGAGTGGTTTCTGGAAGAGTCTTGCACCCCTGACATGCTAAGAGTCTATTACCAACCCATCCGTCTCAGGCAAGTGCTGTTGCTTGCCCTAATAACAGATTGTGAGCAGCCGGCACAGATGACAATTGGCGAGTCCTCCCAGTGAGTCAGGCATTCACTACTCCTTGTGACCAGGTAACTAGACACACCTGGGAACTGAGAACTTGCCAGGTCCACACCCCAAAGCACTCCCACACACACACCTCCAGGCTCACCCCACTCTCCAAATATAGCGAAGTCCAAGTCAGGAGAATAAACAGAGTCAGTACCTCTGATTCCCATTAGCAGCTTAATTTAAAAACATTTTTTTTCCAAAGTACATATCCTATTCGAACATATTACATAATGTATGTATTAATTTGCATATTGTTATCATCTATATCTCCCAGCTGGAGCACAAGCTCCATGAAGGTAGGAATATCTGTTTCCTTCACTAATGGAGCCCAGGAACCTAGAACATGCCTGGCACACAGAAGGTGCTCAATAAATACTTGTTGGATATGGGTGCTAGAATGATGTGGGAGTTCGGGAATTTGTTCTTGTTGTTTATAAATATATTTTTATTGATTTCAGAAGGAGGGAAGAGGGAGAGATAGATAGAAACATCAAGGATGAGAGAGAATCATTGATCAGCTGCCTCGTGCACACCCCCTACTGGGGATTGAGCCCATAACTCGGGCATGTGCCCTGACCCGGAATCAAACCGTGACTTCCTGGTTCATAGGTTAATGCTCAACCACTGAGCCACGCGGGCTGGGCTGGAATGTTTTTAAGGATCTACCATATCTTAAGGATCCAGAACAATGGAGAAGGCACTCAGAGGCGTGCCTTGGCACTTGCCCACATGCCTTTGAGGCAAACGTTCCACTAAAAGATGCCAACACTTACATAGGAGGGTAGGAGGTGGCATTCTTCACGAAGGTCCATGGCTCTGCAGGCTGCGGAGGAGCAAACCTCAGGGGTCCGAGCGGCGGCTTGGCAAAGGGGACTCCCAGGAAAACGGCCACGGGCTGTGCAAAGCCTTCTAGGCTGACATACTCCCCCAGGACCTGGCCCTGCACGGTGTCCACCACAGGGGGC